TGGTGTTTGTTCACCCCCGTGGTGTTTGTTCACCCCCGTGGTGTTTGTTCACCCCCGTGGTGTTTGTTCACCCCCGTGGTTTTTGTTCACCCCGTGGTGTTTGTTCACCCCCGTGGTGTTTGTTCACCCCCGTGGTGTTTGTTCACCCGTGGTGTTTGTTCACCCCCGTGGTGTTTGTTCACCCCGTGGTGTTTGTTCACCCCCGTGGTGTTTGTTCACCCCCGTGGTGTTTGTTCACCCCCGTGGTGTTTGTTCACCCCGTGGTGTTTGTTCACCCGTGGTGTTTGTTCACCCGTGGTGTTTGTTCACCCGTGGTGTTTGTTCACCCGTGGAGTTTGTTCACCCCCGTGGTGTTTGTTCACCCGTGGTGTTTGTTCACCCCGTGGTGTTTGTTCACCCCCGTGGTGTTTGTTCACCCCCGTGGTGTTTGTTCACCCTCGTGGTGTTTGTTCACCCCCGTGGTGTTTGTTCACCCCCGTGGTGTTTGTTCACCCCGTGGTGTTTGTTCACCCCGTGGTGTTTGTTCACCCCCGTGGTGTTTGTTCACCCGTGGTGTTTGTTCACCCCCGTGGTGTTTGTTCACCCCCGTGGTGTTTGTTCACCCGTGGTGTTTGTTCACCCCCGTGGTGTTTGTTCACCCCCGTGGTGTTTGTTCACCCCGTGGTGTTTGTTCACCCCGTGGTGTTTGTTCACCCCCGTGGTGTTTGTTCACCCGTGGTGTTTGTTCACCCCGTGGTGTTTGTTCACCCCGTGGTGTTTGTTCACCCAGTGGTGTTTGTTCACCCGTGGTGTTTGTTCACCCCCGTGGTGTTTGTTCACCCCCGTGGTGTTTGTTCACCCGTGGTGTTTGTTCACCCCCGTGGTGTTTGTTCACCCCGTGGTGTTTGTTCACCCCGTGGTGTTTGTTCACCCGTGGTGTTTGTTCACCCCCGTGGTGTTTGTTCACCCCCGTGGTGTTTGTTCACCCCCGTGGTGTTTGTTCACCCCCGTGGTTTTTGTTCACCCCCGTGGTGTTTGTTCAACTGTGGTGTTTGTTCACCCCCGTGGTGTTTGTTCACCCCCGTGGTGTTTGTTCACCCCTGTGGTGTTTGTTCACCCCCGTGGTGTTTGTTCACCCGTGGTGTTTGTTCACCCGTGGTGTTTGTTCACCCCCGTGGTGTTTGTTCACCCCCGTGGTGTTTGTTCACCCCCGTGGTGTTTGTTCACCCCCGTGGTGTTTGTTCACCCGTGGTGTTTGTTCACCCCCGTGGTGTTTGTTCACCCCCGTGGTGTTTGTTCACCCCGTGGTGTTTGTTCACCCCGTGGTGTTTGTTCACCCCCGTGGTGTTTGTTCACCCCGTGGTGTTTGTTCACCCCGTGGTGTTTGTTTACCCCCGTGGTGTTTGTTCACCCTAGTGGTGCTTGTTCACCCGTGGTGTTTGTTCACCCCGTGGTGTTTGTTCACCCCGTGGTGTTTGTTCACCCCGTGGTGTTTGTTCACCCGTGGTGTTTGTTCACCCGTGGTGTTTGTTCACCCCGTGGTGTTTGTTCACCCCGTGGTGTTTGTTCACCCCGTGGTGTTTGTTCACCCGTGGTGTTTGTTCACCCCCGTGGTGTTTGTTCACCCCGTGGTGTTTGTTCACCCCGTGGTGTTTGTTCACCCCGTGGTGTTTGTTCACCCGTGGTGTTTGTTCACCCCCGTGGTGTTTGTTCACCCCCGTGGTGTTTGTTCACCCCGTGGTGTTTGTTCACCCCGTGGTGTTTGTTCACCCCCGTGGTGTTTATTCACCCTGTGGTCTTTGTTCACCCCCGTGGTGTTTGTTCACCCCCGTGGTGTTTGTTCACCCCCGTGGTGTTTGTTCACCCCGTGGTGTTTGTTCACCCCGTGGTGTTTGTTCACCCCCGTGGTGTTTGTTCACCCCCGTGGTGTTTGTTCACCCCGTGGTGTTTGTTCACCCCGTGGTGTTTGTTCACCCCGTGGTGTTTGTTCACCCCCGTGGTGTTTGTTCACCCCCGTGGTGTTTGTTCACCTGTGGTGTTTGTTCACCCCCGTGGTGTTTGTTCACCCCCGTGGTGTTTGTTCACCCCCGTGGTGTTTGTTCACCCCCGTGGTGTTTGTTCACCCCCGTGGTGTTTGTTCACCCCCGTGGTGTTTGTTCACCCCTGTGGTGTTTGTTCACCCCTGTGGTGTTTGTTCACCCCCGTGGTGTTTGTTCACCCCACCCCCGTGGTGTTTGTTCACCCCCGTGGTGTTTGTTCACCCCCGTGGTGTTTGTTCACCCGTGGTGTTTGTTCACCCCCGTGGTGTTTGTTCACCCCCGTGGTGTTTGTTCACCCCCGTGGTGTTTGTTCACCCGTGGTGTTTGTTCACCCCGTGGTGTTTGTTCACCCCCGTGGTGTTTGTTCACCCCGTGGTGCTTGTTCACCCCGTGGTGTTTGTTCACCCCGTGGTGCTTGTTCACCTCGTGGTGTTTGTTCACCCCGTGGTGTTTGTTCACCCCGTGGTGTTTGTTCACCCCGTGGTGTTTGTTCACCCCGTGGTGTTTGTTCACCCCGAGGTGTTTGTTCACCCGTGGTGTTTGTTCACCCCGTGGTGTTTGTTCACCCCCGTGGTGTTTGTTCACCCCGTGGTGTTTGTTCACCTCCGTGGTGTTTGTTCACCCCCGTGGTGTTTGTTCACCCCCGTGGTGTTTGTTCACCCCCGTGGTGTTTGTTTACCCCCGTGGTGTTTGTTCACCCATGGTGTTTGTTCACCCCGTGGTGTTTGTTCACCCCGTGGTGTTTGTTCACCCCGTGGTGTTTGTTCACCCCCGTGGTGTTTGTTCACCCCGTGGTGTTTGTTCACCCCGTGGTGTTTGTTCACCCGTGGTGTTTGTTCACCCGTGGTGTTTGTTCACCCTGTGGTGTTTGTTCACCCCGTGGTGTTTGTTCACCCCGTGGTGTTTGTTCACCCGTGGTGTTTGTTCACCCGTGGTGTTTGTTCACCTAGTGGTGTTTGTTCACCCCGTGGTGTTTGTTCACCCCGTGGTGTTTGTTCACCCGTGGTGTTTGTTCACCCCGTGGTGTTTGTTCACCCCCGTGGTGTTTGTTCACCCCGTGGTGTTTGTTCACCCCCGTGGTGTTTGTTCACCCCGTGGTGTTTGTTCACCCGTGGTGTTTGTTCACCCCGTGGTGTTTGTTCACCCCCGTGGTGTTTGTTCACCCCGTGGTGTTTGTTCACCCCCGTGGTGTTTGTTCACCCCGTGGTGTTTGTTCACCCCTGTGGTGTTTGTTCACCCCCGTGGTGTTTGTTCACCCCGTGGTGTTTGTTCACCCGTGGTGTGACACCTGGTCCATGACGACCCGTCCACCTCATGTACAGGCGTCGTCTGCCCACCTTCCTTGTGGCTACCATGTGGAGGTTCCACGGATCAACGGCCCCGCGGCCCGGTCTCCAACCAGGAGTCCAGGTTGGATGTCTGGTCATCCAGGGTGTTTGACGCTGATGTATGAATCACAGCCTGATTGATCCGGTATTCTTTGGAGGAGTTTGTCGAGTTCTGTCTTGAACTCTGTGAGTGGTCGCTTAGTTATACTCCTATGTTTAGCGGGAGTGTGTTGAGCAGTCTTGGGCCCGTGATGTTGATAGTTCTCCCTCAGCGTATCTCAGCCCGTCCTCCTAAGGTTTCCCATCGTCAAGAAAACGGTCAATTTAAAATGTCCTGTCCTAACTTGCCACAGGACTGTGGCAAGATCCTGTGTTCCTGTGGTCCTGGGTTCGATCCCAGGCGCCGGCGAGAAACATTGGGCAGAGTTTCTTTCACCCTATGCCCCTGTTACCTAGCAGTAAATAGGTACCTGGGTGTTAGTCAGCTGTCACGGGCTGCTTCCTGGGGGTGGAGGCCTGGTCGAGGACCGGGCCGCGGGGACACTAAAAGCCCTGAAATCATCTCAAGATAACCTCAAGAGGACCCAAAACAGCCGCTTACATTTTCAAGTACAATTTTTGGCGTTATGTAACGCATACGATCGAAATGCGACGTTCTTTTTATGAGGAAAGTTTGACCTTTTGCACCTCTGCTTTTTTTATGGGGCTATTTTGCACAACCTGCCATGCCTTCTGGTCTCATGTGGTGTGATCTCCGTGCTCACATTTGGAACCAGCCCCTCTAATATTTTCCACGTGTAAAATTATTATATATCTCTCTCACCTGCGCTCTAGAGAATACTGATTTAGTACTTTTAATCGGTTCCAATAATTTACATGACTTATAGAGTGGATCCTTGCGGGAAAGGATGTTTGCACGCTCTCCAGGTCATCAATTTCTCCGGCTCTGAATAGAGCTGTTATTGAGTAACAATATTCCACCCTAGAGAGCACTAGTGTCTTGAAAAGTATCATTGGCCTGGCATCCCTTGTTAGAAGGTCCTTGTTATCCAACCTGTCATTTTTCTTGCAGTAGTGACAGCTACTTTATTGTGTTCTTTAAAGGTAAGGTTTTCCGTCATGATTACCCCTAGGTCCTTTATTTTCATTTGTCATTGTTTAACGTGATTTGATTTCGTTATTTATAAGATATATAACTGTTATGTATTCTTTTACTTAGGAGTTTCTCATCCAGCAAACGTTATTCTCCTGTTAATTTATTATGTTTCTTCCTGTGACACAATTATTGTATTCGTCACGTCATTATAACGGTTGTTAATTAGTCATTTATTATAGTTAGGCTTATTACCAGTGAAGGCTAATTACTGCTAATTAAATTAGCTGTTTCTTGTGGTACATTAATTATCACATTTGTTATATTATCGTTTAGCTTCAGATAATTTACTATAGCCTTTACTTTATATTTTAATTATTTTACTATCTATTTTAATTATATAAATACAAATTCATACCCCCCCCCCCTGCGTGAGTCTCAGTCAGCCTACCCAAAAATTTATATCTATCCAGATCTATCTTTCTGTCGACTCTTAATGCTTTTTTCTCTTTGTTCTATGTTCTTGTTAATTGTAATACTATTGTAGTAATTCTGTTCCAGGTGTAGCCAGCGAAGAGACGAAGGAGGAGGAGGAGGAGGAGGGGAAGGAAGCGGTGATAAAGAAGGAGTAAGGCAGAGCAGGAGAGCGTACAGCAGCAGTAGAGGAGAGCGCTGCCGCCATGTCGGGGCAGGACAGCAAGGCGCCCCTGAGGCAGGTCCGCAGTATCCAGTTCGGCATCCTGAGTCCAGATGAGATTGTAAGTTCCTTTGGTCTTGTCCAGGGCTGTGTTGACACTTTCCCCAGGGTGTACTGTGTGTACACCAGTGGTGTACTGTGTCTACACCAGTGGTGTACTGTGTGTACACCAGTGGTGTACTGTGTGTACACCAGTGGTGTACTGTGTGTACACCAGTGGTGTACTGTGTGTACACCAGTGGTGTACTGTGTGTACACCAGTGGTGTACTGTGTGTACACCAGTGGTGTACTGTGTGTACACCAGTGGTGTACTGTGTGTACACCAGTGGTGTACTGTGTGTACACCAGTGGTGTACTGTGTGTACACCAGTGGTGTACTGTGTGTACACCACTGGTGTACTGTGTGTACACCAGTGGGTGGGTGTAGCGACACTCACGCATAAATGTTTGCCAGGTGTGTGTACAACAGAGTTCCATGAGGACTGACTGCATGAGGCAGGTGTAGAGGTGTAGACTATATATATATATATATATATATATATATATATATATATATATATATATATATATATATATATATATATATATATATATATATATATATATATATATATATAACTGAAAACTCACACCCCAGAAGTGACTCGAACCCATACTCCCAGGAGCAACGCAACTGGTATGTACAAGACGCCTTAATCCACTTGACCATCACGACCGGACAAAATGAGGTGATAGCCTAAGCTATTTGAACCACCCCACCGCCGGCACTCGGATAGTAATCTTGGGCATAGCATTTTACCAAATCACCTCATTCTTTGGGGCACACGTGAGGAACACAAAATATTTTGAACACAAAATATTTTGAACACAAAATTTATTTTTTGTGTTCCTCACGTGTGCCCCAAAGAATGAGGTGATTTGGTAAAATGCTATGCCCAAGATTACTATCCGAGTGCCGGCGGTGGGGTGGTTCAAATAGCTTAGGCTATCACCTCATTTTGTCCGGTCGTGATGGTCAAGTGGATTAAGGCGTCTTGTACATACCAGTTGCGTTGCTCCTTGGAGTATGGGTTCGAGTCACTTCTGGGGTGTGAGTTTTCAGTTGCATATTGTCCTGGGGACCATTCAGGCTTGTTTGCATATATATATATATATATATATATATATATATATATATATATATATATATATATATATATATATATATATATATATATATATATATATATATATATATTAGTATATTTTGGTAGCAGTCTTTCCTGTAGACATATATTATTAAATATGACCGAAAAAGTAAGATTAATAATTCTAACACGAATTTTCTCAATCTTTCGTACATTTCTTTTCACTGTTGGAGGTAAATCAAAAATCAATTCTCCAAAATTCATTTTTATTTTTAAAATAAAAATGAATTTTGGAGAATTGATTTTTGATTTACCTCCAACAGTGAAAAGAAATGTACGAAAGATTGAGAAAATTCGTGTTAGAATTATTAATCTTACTTTTTCGGTCATATTTAATAATATATATATATATATATATATATATATATATATATATATATATATATATATATATATATATATATATATATATATATATATATATATATATATATATCAATAACACAGAATGTCTGCCTGTTTGTCTCAGGATGGCGGCCAGATAACTTGGGCTAGCCTCGCTAAACTTTGCAGGGTGACTGGTGGGTGATGGGGGACTGTCATAGATCGGGGTCAGATATATGTGGGTCACGCGCACGCTCGCGCGTGTGTATGTGCTTGGAAGAAACTTTTAAATATCTTTGCATTCATGTTTGTGATCAGTGTCCACCTCGACCTCTCGCGTTGCCACAACGGACATTAAATGATGAACTAAAACACGCGAAGCTGACCTAACCGTCCTGAAGCTTCCGACTCCAGACATAGAAAACGTGATTGTTCTCAAGCCGCTGTGGTTTATAATACAACGTTATTTGGCCGTTGAGGATTTTGACGTTAATATGATGCATTGTGATGCAGCCTCGTAGGCCTGGTGGATAGCGCGCAGGACTCGTAATTCTGTGGCGCGGGTTCGATTCCCGCACGAGGCAGAAACAAATGGGCAAAGTTTCTTTCACCCTATGCCCCTGTTACCTAGCAGTAAATAGGTACCTGGGAGTTAGTCAGCTGTCACGGGCTGTTTCCTGGTGGTGGAGGCCTGGTCGAGGACCGGGCCGCGGGGACACTAAAAGCCCCGAAATCATCTCAAGATAACCTCAAGATAATCTCAAGAAGCCATCACAATCAGCTGAACTGGAACATCACACTCATCATACTCTGGTGATGATGGTTTAGTCTGATGTTAGAGTATGATGAGTTAGAGCATGATTCATCACTACACAACCACGGACATTACCATCACTACCTTCACCACTATCGTCACCATCACTAACTTCTCAACCACCTCACTAACCAAATTCTGTCTCCACTACCACACTAATCAACCGAAATCCCAACCATACTAACCAATCTACTCCCTCCACCACCACATTAATTCATCAAACCCTTCCTCTAACCACACTACTCTAGCAATTATCTGGCCAAGCTGCAACACTAACCAACTATCCCTCCCCATTCTCACTACTCTCCAACCATCCCCTTGCCTCCCACCACACTAACCAACCCCTGCCCACCACCACCACACTAACCAACCCCTGCCCACCACCACCACACTAACCAACCCCTGCCCACCACCACCACACTAACCAACCCCTGCCCACCACCACACTAACCAACCCCTGCCCACCACCACCACACTAACCAACCCCTGCCCACCACCACCGCACTAACCAACCCCTGCCCACCACCACCACACTAACCAACCCCTGCCCACCACCACCACACTAACCAACCCCTGCCCACCACCACACTAACCAACCCCTGCCCACCACCAACACACTAACCAACCCCTACCCACCACCACCACACTAACCAACCCCTGCCCACCACCACCACTAACCAACCACTAACCAACCCCTTCCCACCACCACCACACTAACCAACCCCTGCCCACCACCACCGCACTAACCAACCCCTGCCCACAACCACCACACTAACCAACCCCTGCCCACCACCACACTAACCAACCCCTACCCACCACCACCACACTAACCAACCCCTGCTCACCACCACCACACTAACCAACCCCTGCCCACCACCACCAATAACCAACCCCTGCCCACCACCACCACACTAACCAACCCCTGCCCACCACCACACTAACCAACCCCTACCCACCACCACCACACTAACCAACCCCTGCTCACCACCACCACACTAACCAACCCCTGCCCACCACCAATAACCAACCCCTGCCCACCACCACACTAACCAACCCCTGCCCACCACCAATAACCAACCCCTGCCCACCACCACACTAACCAACCCCTGCCCACCACCAATAACCAACCCCTGCCCACCACCACACTAACCAACCCCTGCAGACCACCGCACTAACCAACCCCTGCCCACCACCACACTAACCAACCCCTGCCCACCACCACACTAACCAACCCCTGCCCACCACCACCATACTAACCAACCCCTGACCACCACCACACTAACCAACCCCTACCCACCACCACCACACTAACCAACCCCTGCCCACCACCAATAACCAACCCCTGCCCACCACCACCACACTAACCAACCACTACCCCCCACCACACTAACCAACCCCTGCCCACCACCAATAACCAACCCCTGCCCACCACCACCGCACTAACCAACCCCTGCCCACCACCAATAACCAACCCCTGCCCACCACCGCACTAACCAACCCCTGCCCACCACCAATAACCAACCCCTGCCCACCACCACCACACTAACCAACCACTACCCCCCACCACACTAACCAACCCCTGCCCACCACCAATAACCAACCCCTGCCCACCACCACCGCACTAACCAACCCCTGCCCACCACCAATAACCAACCCCTGCCCACCACCGCACTAACCAACCCCTGCCCACCACCAATAACCAACCCCTGCCCACCACCACCACACTAACCAACCCCTGCCCACCAAGACACTAACCAACTCCCTGGTCCACAGCGGCGCATGTCTGTGACTGAAGGCGGGATCAAGTACTCAGAGGTGTACGAGAACGGACGGCCCAAGCTGGGCGGGCTGATGGACCCCCGCCAGGGGTGTCTGGACCGGAACACACGCTGTACCACCTGCGCCGGCAACATGGTCGACTGTCCGGGACACTTCGGGCACCTGGACCTGGCCAAGCCTGTCTTCCACGTGGGCTTCCTCACCAAGACCGTCAAGATCCTGCGCTGCGTGTGCTTCTACTGCAGCAAGCTGCTCTTCAGCACGGTGAGGCGCCCTCCTCTCTCGCCCGCTCACTCAATATTAGGCTTCCTCTACAATACTTTTGTCTTCCTTGTGATGTGACAATCCTCAACACTTACTTTACTTTAGGCATCCACTTTAATACTTTTAAGTGTCTTCTTGAACGTGTTAATAATCGTGTACACTTTAGGTTTCTTCTTCAGCACTTTTAAGTGTCTTCTTCCACTTATGATAATCCTGAATTCTTTATTATTCCGTTCAATTACATTTGTCATTACTTCACCTACTATTATTTAATCAATTTAATCAATTTGGATATATGTAAAGTAATGGGTGGAATAAAATATCAATCTGTACTTTTAAAGCTTCATTACAATGTACACAAGTAATTGTCAATCATTAATGTGTGAGCGATATCCATTAAATCTTATATTCTGGAGATCTTGGAGATAATCTGAGGTTATACAGAGATAGAGTGATGGGAACTCACTCAGTTCTACCTATGGAATTTCACTTACTCAAAAATTGTGTCCTGGAAGATTATATTCTTCACGATGGAAGTTTTAATGTTATGAACACTTATAAATAACTGCTGGAAAGAGACTGAGTTCCATTTCTAACCTTGAAAATAATTTTATATTTATTTATAACATATATAGATGGATGGATGGAAGGAAGGATTACTAGTTCTCCTCCTTCCCTTCTATTATAGACATAGATGGATGGTGAGAGCTCTATCCTTCTCTCTACCCTACTAATTCTACCCTTCCTTCCCAGCTCCCTTCGCTCTTTCTTTTCTACCTGTCCTTCTTAACACTCTCCTCCTCCTCCTCCTTGCCTTCTACTATTAACTACTTCCCTCCTATCATTCTCTCGTTTATTTAGCGTCTTTCCCTTCTACTTTTAGCTGTTTTCTTTACTCCCCTTCTTTATTTTCCCCTCCCGGTATTACAATGGTGATAGCGGTGGGATAAACCTCCCACAAACCCAATAAGTCAAAAAACCTCTCAAAAAAACATTAAAGCACTAAACCTCCTACAATCTCAGTACACCACTAAAGCTTCCACAAGCCAGCTAAACGACTAGTAGACCTCCTGTAAGGACCACTGAACCTCTTCACAAACGCCACGAAGAATTCGTAATTCTTAGGTAAATTAACTCGCCACTCGACCCCGTCAGTCTCAATATCAACCAAGTGACCACTAAGTCTTCACTCTAACCCACAGGAAGACCACTAAATCTACTCTGGACCTACGAACATACCATTAAACCTAATCTAGACATACAAATTACCATTAAACCTCCTCTGGACCTACAGAACCAATTACTAAAGCTACTCTGGACCTACAAAACAATTACTAAAGCTACTCTGAACCTACAAAACAATTACTAAACCTTCTCTGGACCTACAAAACAATTACTAAAGCTACTCTGGACCTACAAAACAATTACTAAACCTTCTCTGGACCTACAAAACAATTACTAAAGCTACTCTGGACCTACAAAACAATTACTAAAGCTACTCTGGACCTACAAAACAATTACTAAAGCTACTCTGGACCTACAAAACAATTACTAAAGCTACTCTGGACCTACAAAACAATTACTAAAGCTACTCTGGACCTACAAAACAATTACTAAACCTTCTCTGGACCTACAAAACAATTACTAAAGCTACTCTGAACCTACAAAACAATTACTAAAGCTACTCTGGACCTACAAAACCATTTACTAAAGCTACTCTGGACCTACAAAACCATTTACTAAAGCTACTCTGGACCTACAAAACCATTTACTAAAGCTACTCTGGACCTACAAAACAATTACTAAAGCTACTCTGGACCTACAAAACCATTTACTAAAGCTACTCTGGACCTACAAAACCATTTACTAAAGCTACTCTGGACCTACAAAACCATTTACTAAAGCTACTCTGGACGTACTCTGGCAGCAACACCCGAAGATCCGGGAGATCGTGACCAAGTCGAAGGGGCAGCCGAGGAAGCGGCTGCTGCACGTGTACAACCTGTGTAAGGGCAAGATGATCTGCGAGGGCGGCGACGAGCTTGACGTCACTAAGGACCCGGACGACCCCACCAAGCTCAAGAAGTCTGCCACCCACGGCGGATGTGGCCGGTAAGGAGGCGCGCCCGCACGCCCGCACGCCCATACACACACACACACACACACACACACACGCACACACACACACACACACACACACACACACACACACACACACACACACACACACACACACACACACACACACACACACACACACACACACACACACACACACACACACACACACACACACACACACACACACACACACAAGGTTCAAAGGTTCAAAGGTTTGCCACCAGACTAGTACCCGAGCTGAGAGGTATGAGCTACGAGGAGAGACTACGGGAATTAAACCTCACTTCGCTGGAAGACAGAAGAGTTAGGGGGGATATGATCACCACATTCAAGATTCTGAAGGGGATTGATAGGGTAGATAAAGACAGTCTATTTAACACAAGGGGAACACGCACAAGGGGACACAGGTGGAAACTGAGTGCCCAAATGAGCCACAGAGATATTAGAAAGAACTTTTTAGTGTCAGAGTGGTTGACAAATGGAATGCATTACACACACACACACACACACACACACACACACACAAACACACACACACACACACGCACACACACACCCACACACCCACACACACACACACACACACACACACAGCCTCGGGGGCCTCGTAGCCTGGTGGATAGCGCGCAGGACTCGTAATTCTGTGGCGCGGGTTCGATTCCCGCACGAGGCAGAAACAAATGGGCAAAGTTTCTTTCACCTTGAATGCCCCTGTTACCTAGCAGTAAATAGGTACCTGGGAGTTAGTCAGCTGTCACGGGCTGCTTCCTGGGGTGTGTGTGTGTGTGGTGAAAAAAAAGTAGTTAGTGTAGTTAGTAAACAGTTGATTGACAGTTGAGAGGCGGGCCGAAAGAGCAAAGCTCAACCCCCGCAAACACAACTAGGTGAATACAACTAGGTGAATACACACACCCACAGTGCAATGATAGAAATGGTTGGGCACGTTTCCTATCACCTAATGCACCTGTCCACCTAGCAGTAAATAGGTACCCAGGAGTTAGTCAGCTTGGTGTGGGGTTGCACCCTGGGGGAGGGTCTGTAGTTCCACCCTGCGGGGGGAAGGGGGGGGATATGGACCTCAATATAAGCCTAACATATGTATATATACTCTGGCTGCCTGTCCCCCGACACAATGAACTATTATAAAATTATATTTATATTTCAAATTATGTGATGAAACTAATTTGAAAATCATAATGTAAATACAGCTTTAAACTTTAAAATATATAACTTTTAAATACAGCTTAAAACCTCACGAAACAGTATCATAAAACCACACAGAAGGTCAGGAAATATTGATGAACCAGCCGAGGGCGGCGGGCCATCCTGACACGTGTACTGCCCTCAGGTACCAGCCCAACGTGAAGAGGATGGGACTCGAACTGGTGGCTGAGTGGAAACACGTCAATGAAGACACACAGGACCGCAAACAGATCGTGACGGCTGAGAGGGTGTACGAGATCTTCAGACACATCTCTGGTAAGACAGGTCACCTAGTTGTGCTTGTGGGGGTTGAGGGGAAGGAGCATTCCTTATCCTTTCCCCCTGATAGTTCCTATCAAGGCAAGCACTAAGCCATTGCGACTATATAGCACTTGGAAGGGGTCAGGATAAGGATTTGGAATGGGACGGCGGGGACAGAATGGTGCCTAACCACTTGGACGGCCGGGGATTGAACGCCGACCTGCATCAAGCGAGACCGTCGCTCTACCGTCCAGCCCAAGTGCTTGGACACACTTTGGCTCTCTGTTCCCGCTTCCTAACAGTCTATCAATTAGTGTACAAGTTTCTAAACCTATTGGGCTCTTGTCATATCTACATTTGAAACTATGGAATCTACCTCCTCCATATCACTGTCTAATGCATTCCACCTGTTAACTACTCTGACACTGAAGAAGTTCTTTCTAACATCCCTGTGGCTCATTTAGGTACTCAGTTTCCACCTGTGTCCCCTTGTTCGCGTGATAATGGCTTCTCCTAACTGTTCTGTCGTCCAGTGCCGTGAGGTTTAATTCCTGCTGCTATTCCTCATAGCTCATACCCCTCAACTCTGGGAGTAAACTGGTGGCAAACCTTTGAACCTTTTTTTAGAACTTCGTGTTTTGCTTGAATACATATGTGTTTAAGACAATGCTTGAGGGTGTTTTGTGGAAGTGAGTGTTTAGCTTATTATATACACAGGCCTCCTGTCCCCGACAACGGGAATTATTATATACAGAGTCAGTCAAAATTTGGTATTAGGTGGGTATAGTAGTGAGCAGCTGAGGCACGTCACAGCCTCTGCTGGACTTGTTATTGGTTATCTCTGGTCATCGGCAGGAATTGGGCAGAAGTAACCTAAGCTACTCTATCCTACTGTGATGTATCTCATTGTCTCAGTGAACGCACTTGAACCTGAGACCTATCACATGTACACAACACGGTTCATAACGATATGTATACGGTTTTGACAATCAGAAATGAACTTTGCTGGAATCTCTTGAAGGATTTAACTCCCCAGAAACACACACACACACACACACATTTAAATTTAAACATATAAATGACTACAATAGGTTAGGCAAGGAAATTCAACAGGAGAAACAGCTTTTGTCAGCACAGATGGAGGAAGTTACACAGGGAATAGAACAGTGCAAGAAAGATATGCAACTCACTTATGCACAAGTGGCCAAGGAGAAGGAAAAAATAGAAGAAGCAGTAAAGGAAGTCAAACATTGCAGCAACCAAGATAAAACAAACATTAGGCTAGAAGTGAGGAAAGAATTGGCATCTAACCCGAAGTTGGTGCAAAACACAGTTGATCGGAGTAAGTCCCTGATCATTTTTGGCTGCAAAGAAAAGGCGATAACATCTAGGTCAGAAAGAGCTGTAGAAGAAGCTAAAGTAGTAGATAAAATTGTTGGCCTCGTGGAAGGTCTTACAAACAGAGAGAATGTGTGCGACTACAGGAGAATAGGCAGGTACGTAAAAGGGAAAGATCGACCTTTGAGGATCACCCTAAACGGTGCCAAACAGATGGAAGAAGTACTAAGGAATGCTAGAAAATTGCAAAGGGATGAGGATGGGAAAGGGTGGTCATTAAGACGAGATCTTTCAAAAGAAGATAGAGAGAAGCTGAAACTGAACCTCGCCGAGGCAAAACATTTAAATGAGAGCAGGAATGAAGAAGAAATAAATTCTTTTGTCTACAAAGTGATAGGGGTAGGCAAACCAGTAAAGTGGTACATAAAGGCAAACCAACAAAATCAATAGAGAGAGGGGGAGTGAAGAATAAGGAGAGGGGGAACAAGTTCCTGAAGATTGCATACACCAACATAGATGGAGTGAGATCGAAGATACTGGAGTTAAGTGATGTAATACAGCTGCAGACACCAGACATTGTTGCACTCACGGAGACAAAACTTGAAGATGTAATTTTAAATGAGGTCATATTCCCAAGGGGCTACTCAATTTGGAGACGGGACAGAAAAATTAGGAAAGGCGGTGGCGTTGCTGTGCTGGTAAAAGAACACCTAAAGGTGAAGGAAATAATGACTGCCAATCCACAAGAAGTTGACATAATAGCACTAGAGATCTGCTATGAGGATGATAAACTAATGATGATAAATGCATATAGTCCACCGCCAAGCAGCACATGGTCAAAGGAGGAGCTAGATAGTAAACGTGAAGGTCTTATAACAATAATGAGAGAGATTATAGCGAGAGCGGATAACGATAGATCACGACTGTTGATAGTCGGTGACTTCAACTTGAAATCCATAGACTGGGAAGCATATGAAGCTAAAACAGAAGATTTTGGACCTGTAAATTTGTAGACCTCATCCTGGAAACATTCTTGTATCAACATGTTAAACAAGCTACGAGGATGAGGGAAGGGGACGTTCCCTCCATGCTAGATTTGATATTTACCAGGAAGGAGGAAGAGATATTTGACATTCAGTACCTTCCTCCCTTGGGTAAAAGTGACCATGTCTTTTTGGGAATAAAGTATGCAATGCGTTATAAGCTGGAAGAAAATAAGGAGGTTGAAGCAGTTGAAAAACCAGACTTCAGGAGAGGACATTATGGTGACCTTAGAAATTTTTTTAGTGAGTATAATTGGACAGACTTGATGCTAGGCAAGGAAGTGAATGAGATGTATGGCAAGTTTTGTGAAATATATGATAAAGGCACAAAAAAATTTATACCAAAACAGAGATGCAGAACTAGGAAACAGGATTGGTTCAATAGAAATTGCGAGAGGGCTAGAGACCGAAAGACACAAAAATGGAATCAATACAGGAAGAGGTCGAACCCCCAAACATACCAGCGATACAAAGATGCGAGAAACAACTACACGGAAGTGAGGAGAGAGGCAGAAAGAAATTTTGAAAAAGGGATTGCGGACAAATGTAAAACAGAACCAGGTCTATTCTATAAATTCATAAACAACAAATTGCAGGTAAAGGATAATATTCAGAGGTTGAAAATGGGAAATAGATTCACGGAAGATGAAAAGGAAATGTGTGAAACACTAAACGAAAAGTTCCAAAGTGTGTTTGTACAAAATGAAATCTTTAGGGAACCAGATACAATAAGAATTCCAGAGAACAACATAGAACACATAGAGGTGTCTAGAGACGAAGTGGAAAAAATGCTCAAGGAGCTCGGTAAGAACAAAGCAGCTGGCCCAGATGGCGTTTCACCATGGGTTCTGAGAGAATGTGCATCTGAGCTCAGCATTCCACTTCACCTGATCTTTCAGGCATCCCTGTGTACAGGAATCGTAGCAGACGGGTGGAAACAGGCTAACATAGTTCCAATCTACAAAAGTGGCAGCAGGGAAGACCCCCTCAATTATAGACCTGTATCATTGACAAGTGTAATAGTGAAAGTATTGGAAAAACTAATCAAAACTAAATGGGTAGAACACCTAGAGAGAAATGATATAATATCAGACAGACAGTATGGTTTTCGATCTGGAAGATCCTGTGTATCGAATTTACTCAGTTTCTATGATCGAGCCACAGAGATATTACAGGAAAGAGATGGTTGGGTTGACTGCATCTATCTGGACCTAAAAAAGGCTTTCGACAGAGTTCCACATAAGAGGTTGTTCTGGAAACTGGAAAATATTGGAGGGGTGACAGGTAAGCTTCTATCATGGATGAAAAATTTTCTGACTGATAGAAAAATGAGGGCAGTAATCAGAGGCAATGTATCAGAATGGAGAAATGTCACAAGTGGAGTACCACAGGGTTCAGTTCTTGCACCAGTGATGTTTATTGTGTACATAAATGATCTACCAGTTGGTATACAGAATTATATGAACATGTTTGCTGATGATGCTAAGATAATAGGAAGGATAAGAAATTTAGATGACTGTCATGCCCTTCAAAAAGACCTGGACAAATAAGTATATGGAGCACCACTTGGCAAATGGAATTTAATGTTAATAAATGTCATGTTATGGAATGTGGAATAGGAGAACATAGACCCCACACAACCTATATATTATGTGAGAAATCTTTAAAGAATTCTGATAAAGAAAGAGATCTAGGAGTGGTTCTAGATAGAAAACTATCACCTGAGGACCACATAAAGAATATTGTGCAAGGAGCCTATGCTATGCTTTCTAACTTCAGAATTGCATTTAAATACATGGATGGCGATATACTAAAGAAATTGTTCATGACTTTTGTTAGGCCAAAGCTAGAATATGCAGCTGTTGTGTGGTGCCCATATCTTAAGCAGCACATCAACAAACTGGAAAAGGTGCAAAGACATGCTACTAAGTGGCTCCCAGAACTGAAGGGCAAGAGCTACGAGGAGAGGTTAGAAGCATTAAATATGCCAAAACTAGAAGACAGAAGAAAAAGAGGTGATATGATCACTACATACAAAATAGTAACAGGAATTGACAAAATCGACAGGGAAGACTTCCTGAGACCTGGAACTTCAAGAACAAGAGGTCATAGATTTAAACTAGCTAAACACAGATGCCGAAGAAATATAAGAAAATTCACCTTCGCAAATAGAGTGGTAGACGGTTGGAACAAGTTAAGTGAGAAGGTGGTGGAGGCCAAGACCGTCAGTAGTTTCAAAGCGTTATATGACAAAGAGTGCTGGGAAGACGGGACACCACGAGCGTAGCTCTCATCCTGTAACTACACTTAGGTAATTACACTTAGGTAATTACACATACCAGGCTAGGCTCGTCCATGCTGCGGCCGAGAGGCACTTCCAATTATATCAAGCTGCAAGAGGATAGTCAGAGGGATAGGAGCCCTAACCAAGAGAATAATGAACATGGAATATGGAGTCATATTAAATGGAACGTATATATATTATGGTAATATATATATATATATATATATATATATATATATATATATATATATATATATATATATATATAATATATATATATATATATATATATATATATATATATATATATATTATGTATGTCGTACCTAGTAGCCAGAACGTACTTCTCAGCCTACTATGCAAGGCCTGATTTGCCTAATAAGCCAAGTTTTCCTGAATTAATATATTTTCTCTAATTTTTTTCTTATGAAATGATAAAGCTACCAATTTCATTATGTATGAGGTCAATTTTTCTTTATTGGAGTCAAAATTAACGTAGATATATGACCGAACCTAACCAACCCTACCTAACCTAACCTAACCTATCTTTATAGGTTAGGTTAGGTTAGGTAGCCGAAAAAGTTAGGTTAGGTTAGGTTAGGTAGGTTAGGTAGCCGAAAAACAATTAATTCATGAAAACTTGGCTTATTTGGCAAATTGGGCCTTGCATAGTAGGCTGAGAAGTGCGTTCTGGCTACTAGGTACGACATATATATATATATATATATATATATATATATATATATATATATATATATATATATATATATATATATATATATATATATATAACTAGGGGACGACAAGGCGACAAGACGACATATATATATATATATATATATATATATATATATATATATATATATATATATATATATATATATATATATATATATATATATAACTAGGGGACGACAAGGCGACAAGACGACATATATATATATATATATATATATATATATATATATATATATATATATATATATATATATATATATTTTTTTAAATATATGGAAGGGAGTACCACCTCTAGCTGGAGAAGGGGGACCCATAGCCTCGGAGGAAACCACGCATAACGCATTATATATATATATATATATATATATATATATATATATATATATATATATATATATATATATATATATATATATATATATATATATATATTATAATTGTGTACATAGGTAGGCCTTGAATAGGTTTGGTGTTTTAGTTTTATTGTTAATTGTTTAAACTGGTAGCGGGGTGTTGTTAGCGCGCGCCTGTGCTTGTCTTGTTCCAGACGAGGAGTGTTACCTGCTGGGGATGGACCCCAAGTTCGCGCGGCCGGACTGGATGGTGCTGACGGTGCTGCCGGTGCCGCCCCTGCCCGTGCGGCCCGCCGTCGTCATGTACGGCTCCGCCCGCAACCAAGACGACCTCACCCACAAGCTCGCCGACATCATCAAGTCCAACAACGAACTCATCCGCAACGAACAGTGCGGCGCTGCCGCTCACATCATCTCCGAGAATCTCAAGAACCTGCAGTTCCACGTGGCCACAATGACAGACAATGACATGCCTGGCATGCCCAGGGCCCTCCAGAAATCAGGGAGGCCCCTCAAGGCCCTTAAGACTCGCCTCAAGGGTAAGGAGGGCAGGATTCGGGGCAATCTGATGGGCAAGAGAGTGGATTTTTCGGCGCGGACGGTGATTACAGCTGATCCCAATTTACGGATTGACCAGGTGGGGGTCCCTCGCTCCATCGCCCAGAACATGACGTATCCGGAGATTGTCACACCGTTTAACTTCACCAAGTGAGCTCTCCCTGACCACTGACATCTCTCCCTCAGTAGAACAAGTATTAGTCTCACTCACCTTAACTTTATCTCCAGTCTAACTCTGCAACACATACACACAATAATATCACAATAACCTCATATATCTATGAGAATATATTTGGAGCAGGACGGCAGGATGGAACCCGTGTCCTGGCGCGTGATCCCACGTACTGTCCTGGCGCGTGTCTGGGGTGACCCAGGGCGCGGGTTCGATCCCACCGTCCTGCTCCAAAGATTTTCTCATAAATCCACAGCATTATATACATTGACCACACTCCAGGGTCAAGATTCATGAAGGACGCACGTCTCTATTTACGAAACTTGTACATCTTGTGTCTGTCATGGCGGTTTAGTCTCTATTAAACAGTTGACGAGCGCGGACACGCTACGAGGTCGCTCACAACCCGAAGTTATTATTGTTTGTAAACAACCTCGTAGTGCTTCCGAGCTCCTAAACTCTTAAATAAATACAAGCAAAGCCCCCATAACAGAACAAAAAGGATGTAGAGGTTCCGTAAGTGAACATCTAAATGACATGATGAATGCTGGTCATTAAAAGTGCTACAACAGAATATTTGTGTGGTGCAGGATGATGGAGCTGGTGAAGCGTGGCAACAACCAGTACCCAGGAGCTAAGTACATCATGCGAGACAACGGAGCCCGCATTGACCTCCGCTACCACCCGAAGCCCTCCGACCTCCACCTCCAGTGTGGCTACAAGGTGGAGCGCCACATCACTGACGGAGACCTCATCATCTTCAACAGGCAGCCCACACTCCACAAGATGTCCATGATGGGTCACAAGGTCAAGGTGGGTCACTGTGTGTCTCACCAGGTCACCACCTCCTGGCTGACATGCACCAGGTCACCACCTCCTGGCTGACATGCACCAGGTCACCACCTCCTGGCTGACATGCACCAGGTCACCACCTCCTGGCTGACATGCACCAGGTCACCACCTCCTGGCTGACATGCACCAGGTCACCACCTCCTGGCTGACATGCACCAGGTCACCACCTCCTGGCTGACATGCACCAGGTCACCACCTCCTGGCTGACATGCACCAGGTCACCACCTCCTGGCTGACATGCACCAGGTCACCACCTCCTGGCTGACATGCACCAGGTCACCACCTCCTGGCTGACATGCACCAGGTCACCACCTCCTGGCTGACATGCACCAGGTCACCACCTCCTGGCTGACATGCACCAGGTCACCACCTCCTGGTCTACTTACATTATTGTACACAAATAATTGTGTAAAAATTAGTTAATAGTTTCTCTCTCAAATGTACTGGCCGTGGAAGTTGTCTATGGAGCGTGTGGAGGCGCGTAGCAGTATGGTACATCGATTAAGGACGGCTTTTGTATTATTATTATTATATACCACAGGCGTGGCCCACACATTTACAATGCTAACCAGCATATATACATGTTGACCAGACCACACACTAGAATTTGAAGGGACGACGACGATTCGGTCCGTCCTGGCCCTCAAGTCGATTGACAATCGACTTGAGAATGGTCCAGGACGGACCGAATCGTCGTCGTCCCTTCAAATTCTAGTGTGTGGTCTGGTCAACATACTTCAGCCACGTTATTGTGACTCAGCCAGCATATATACATTTTCTTCTGTCCTCCGTGGACAGGGTTAGAGATGAGTTAAATATATAGTTCAGGGATTTATTGAACAATCAACCACAGAAGGTGATTGTAGTGCTTTTAAAATGCTAATCTAACCTACAGACATAAATACATAGATACACAGAGTTACGTATACCCTACATAAAGTGGTCGATGTGTTCTTTACATCGTATCATTAATGTGCATTTACAAAGGTGAAATGTAATTCTGATCAGCTTCCACATATACTTTATACACATACATACATACATATACATACGCACACATATACATATATATACATATATACACATATACATGCACACACATAAATTTATGGCTCTCCTATTCTGAGAGGGTGAGATAGCTGATAGAGAAACTAGCGTGTTATTAAGCACTCAATCACTGAAGGTGATTAAGGTGCTTTTACAAGCTCAGGTTATATAGTTACATCACATACATATTTATTTATTTATTTATTTATATACAAGAAGGTACATTGGGTATGTGAGAATAAATAGCATAGTAATTTATACTCTTGTAAAGCCACTAGTACGCGCAGCGTTTCGGGCAGGTCCTTAATCTAACAGATAATTTTAAGTAGGTAAATTCTAGTGGAATTAATAAAATGATAACAGATACATTGCAAGAAAGAAAAAAATGAGATAAGAGAGATTAGTAGGTATATTAAAGCACATTGGTGTATTAAAGCTCTGATTGATTATATTGACAGCTTGATTGGTAATTTAAACGAAGATTAATAGGCACAATACAGCAAATTGAAAGCACATATAAGAAGACAGCAATGATCACAATGGTAAAGTTGTTTGGATTGGGTACATGAAGATTGGGAGATTGGGTAGTACTAGATACAGTGCAGTTTTAAAGCAACAAGTGTCAGGGTTCACCCCCTTCCACCCTGTGGTTGGGGTCGTCCCACGGGTCTTAGCCCCTCAGTACCGGGCGCCACTGCTCACCCTTGGGCTCCCCCAGTCAACTAAGGGCTGGCCTTATACACCCCTAGTGAGTGGGGAGGTTCAAGCTTCTTATAACTCGCTTAAACCTGCCTGTCCTGACACTGGAACGCTTTCTTCTTCTTTATCTGGTCTACTCAGGTCGCCAGCTGGGTGTTTATACTCGTGTCCCAGCAACACATCAGTGGTCTTAATGGTTATCTTAATCAAGGATGCAATATCATGTGCAGTACAAGGTGTCACTAATGGTCTCATAAATATATAATATATATAGCCCTAGAGAATGGAGGCTCACTTAAACGCCTCAGTTAGTTTAAGAGTTTATTGAAGAAAACATATATACAGTTACAAATGTCGCTTTCGCTTTGATGTCCAAAGAGCTTGGAAAGGATGTGGGAGGAAGAAGGATGGGGCGATGAAATTCTTGGAAGAGGATTTGGATGTGGAGAGAGGAGGCTTCAAAGTTCGGTGGCCCGTCCACCTTGGATTGGAGATGTTTTTTCAGTCAAAGCCTGTAGCTTAAGTTCTTCTTGGGCGGCAGGAGGCTAGTGGTGGGGCAGGGTGATGTCGTCCTGGTTCACTTGAGGTGGTCTGTCTGCCTTGGAGGAGGCGTCTTCCTTATTGAGATGGTGAGAGGTAAGTTCACTGTTGCTTGGTGGTGTCTCGGCCAGGAGGTATTCGCATGTACTTCCCGAATGTTAGCGGTGGTATTGGTATTCCTGTCGGGTCTTCATCTTCTTCCAGGAAGGTCACTTGTCCCCTCTTGAAGTCGAATTTAGGGTCGATGTATGCACTCTCCAGAGCGCAGAGGTCTACATAGCGTTCCACGGTCTCGTGGTGGACAAACACAGGGTAAGGAATGGTGGTGCTGAGCTGGTTCATGATCCTGTTGCATTCTAAGGCAATGACCATTCTTGTGCTTCGATTGCCGTTGAAATTGCCACCGTGATTGAGGTAAAGTCCATAGCAGGGCACTTTCTTGCTTGATTTGCTTGGGTTTAGGTCGAAGTCTGGGGCCTCATATGTGAAGGTCTCAGCCAGGGCTTCTTGGAACTCTGCATCTGAATCTAATTCTGTTTCCACTTGCTGACTTTTTGGTCTCCTTTTTGCTCTCATTTTCTTCCGTCTCTGGCTGGTGGGGGCAGGTGATGAGGTTGACTGGTCTGCTGTGGTGGTAGTCTGGGTGGATGCTGTTGCCTGGGTGACTTGTGCTGGGTTCGACTCCGGTGGTGGTGGTTGCGGTATGACTGCGGTTACTGTTGGTGTTGGAATTTCGTCTGTTTGGGTTGAAGCAGCGTTGTGATGTTGAAATAGGTCTGCTGGTATCAACATTGTAGGCAGGTTGTTCTGGGCGAGCAGCCTGTTCAGTACTCTCACGTATTTTGCGTTGTCTGTTCCCGCCTCTCTCTCAGCTACACTGATCAGGCATGGGATGAGAGTGGTGTTGGTCGAGGCCGCTGATTGGTTGACAGTCAAGTTGGTTGGCTGAGCAATGTCATAAAGAAATGTCTATGTTGAAATCATCCGCTTGCGGCAGCATTTCTCGATGACACGTCTCTGGCAACACGGTCAGCTGACTGGATCCACTCCCCCGGCGCGGGCACACACCTCGCGCCTCTGGCAGCACGATCAGCTGACGGTTCTAGCTGTCAGAACGTCGTGACTTTCCCACGCCTCCAGCGATGCGATCAGCTGTGCGTTTCAGAGTACGTTGCTGGCTCCTTACCTTGAGGTGCTTCCGGGGCTTAGTGTCCCCGCGGCCCGGTCGTCGATCAGGCCTCCTGGTTGCTGGACTGATCAACCAGGCTGTTAGACGCGGCTGCTCGCAGCCTGACGTATGAGTCACAGCCTGGTTGATCAGGTATCCTTTGGAGGTGCTTATCCAGTTCTCTCTTGAACACTGTGAGGGGTCGGCCAGTTATTCCCCTTATGTGTAGTGGAAGCGTGTTGAACAGTCTCGGGCCTCTGATGTTGATAGAGTTCTCTCTCAGAGTACCTGTTGCACCTCTGCTCTTCAACGGGGGGGTATTCTGCACATCCTGCCATGCCTTCTGGTCTCATGTGCTGTTATTTCTGTGTGCAGGTTTGGGACCAGCCCCTCAATTATTTTCCACGTGTAAATTATTATGTATCTCTCCCGCCTGCGCTCAAGGGAGTACAGATTTAGGCTCTTTAGTTGGTCCCAGTAATTTAGATGTTTTACTGAGTGGATTCTAGCAGTAAAGGATCTCTGCACGCTCTCCAGGTCACCAATTTCTCCAGCTTTGAAAGGGGCTGTCATTGTGCAGCAGTACTCCACTCTAGAGAGCACAAGCGTTTTGAAAAGTATCATCATGGGTATAGCATCTCTAGTGTGGAAAGTTCTTGTTATCCAACCTGTCATTTTTCTTGCAGTTGTGACGGCTACTTTATTGTGTTCTTTAAAGGTAAGGTCTTCCGACATGAGTACACCCAGATCCTTTACATTGCCTTTTCGTTCTATGTTATGATTTACCTGAGTTTTGTACGTGGCTTCTGTTTTTATATTTTCAATTTTTCCGTAGCGCATGAGCTGGAACTTATCCTCGTTAAACACCATATTATTTTCTGTAGCCCATAGAAAGACCTGATCTACATCTGATTGGAGGTTTGCCGTGTCCTCTATGTTGCCAACTCTCATGAAAATCCTAGTGTCATCTGCAAAGGATGATATAGTGCTATAGGTTGTGTTCTGGTCTATGTCCGATATGAGAATGAGAAAAAGTACTGGAGCAAGCACAGTACCCTGGGGGACTGAGCTCTTCACGGTTGATGGGCTGGATTTTATTTTGTTGACTATTACACATTGGGTTCTGTTAGTCAGGAAATTGTAGATCCATCTGCCTATTTTCCCGGTAATTCCTTTTGAACGCATTTTATGTGCAATAACACCATGGTCACATTTATCAAAAGCTTTTGCGAAATCTGTGTAAATTACATCAGCATTTTGTTTGTCTTCCATAGCATCTAATGCCATATCATAGTGGTCCAGCAACTGCGACAGGCAAGAGCGCCCTGTTTTGAAACCATGTTGTCCGGGGTTATGGAGATGCTGTGATTCCATGTATTTTGTGATCTTACTTCTTAGCACTCTCTCAAAAATTTTTATGATGTGCGATGTTAGTGCTATCGGTCTGTAATTTTTTGCCTCCGCCTTATTTCCTCCTTTATGAAGTGGTGCTATCTCTGCTGTTTTTAGTATGTCAGGGATAACGCCAGTATCTAGGCTTTGTCTCCACAGAATGTGAAGGGCCTGCGATAGTGGTTTTTTGCAGTTCTTGATGAATATGGAGTTCCAAGAATCCGGGCCTGGTGCAGAGTGCATAGGCATACTGTTTATGGCTTCTTCAAAATCTAGTGGGGATAGGGCGACGTCTGATATATGATTTGATGTTGGTATCATATCCATGAAAAATTCATTTGGGTTATCAATCTTTAGTGCATTTAATGGCTCGCTGAAAACAGAGTCGTACTGCTTCCTCAGTAACTCGCTCATTTCTTTGTTGTCATCGGTGAAAGTTCCATCTCCCTTTCGCAGGGGCCCGATACTAGATGTGGTTTTTGATCTTGATTTTGCATAGGAGAAAAAATATTTCGGATTTCTCTCTATTTCACTGATGGCCTTTTGCTCTCTTTGCCTCTCCTGGGTTTTGTATGATTCTTGTAGCTTGAGTTCAATTGTTTCTATTTCTCTACCTAACCTTCTTCGCCGTTCTTGAGATAGGGTGCGACTCTCTAGTTGTTCCGCGATTCGTTTTCTTCGCCTATATAGGGAACGACGTTCCCGTTCCAATCTGCATCTCTTTCTCTTTTTTCTTAGAGGTATGCGGTTTGAACATATTTCTAGTGCTACTGAGCTTATTTTTTCCAGGCACTGGTTCAGGTTTGCATTTTCTAGCTGTTCTTCCCAGTTTATTTCTGTGAAGTCCTGGTTTATTTGCTCCCAGTTTATCTGTTTATTATTGAAGTTGAATTTGCTGAAATCTCCTCCACCGGGAATCTGGACTGGTTTTGAAGGTCCATTTCCCATGGTTGTCAGAACTTCAATTAAGTTGTGATCTGAGTAACAGGTATTTGTAATCATTATGTTCCCGATCAACTCATCATTATTAGTGAAAATGAGGTCCAGCATGTTCTCCTTCCTAGTTGGTTCTACTATTTGCTGGTTTAAGTCAAACCTGTCGCACTTCCGTAGCAGGTCATTTGCATGTGCCTGTTAATTTAGGCTACTTCCTGGTCCTTGCACACCAACTACCCTTCTAGGATCATTAACATTCCCGCCTTAATGTTCACACACACCAACTCATGCCTAAATGAGTTTTTGGCTCCTAGCCTAACGTCCTGTCACTTAGACAATAAAATGAGAAGAAATGTTCACAACATATAAAATACTCTAACTCGCCTAGCTCAAAAAGGGGTAAGGGAGGGACAATTATCTACCTTATTTCACTCCAACCACGAAGCTGACTCGTCCCCTGTTGAGGGATGTTGAGGTTCCTGGTTGTGGCTTCTGGTCTCATGATGAACAGTTCCCACACACACACACAGGTTCCTCCGTCGCCTTCGTGGTAACGCGTCCTCGCCGTGCTCACATCCAACAGGTACCGCCTTCCTCCTATTCTCTGGGGTACTGGAGACAGGTACCTCCGTCGTCGTCCTCCTCACTTACTGGCACTGTCGACTCTTCACAGTCCAGCACAGCTTCCCCTTGCCTTAACTGCCAGTAGATTTAGGCCCGGCCCTAGCTTCTCGCTTGATGTGTAGGACGTGGTCCTCTAGTGGGCGTCCCAGCCGCCCCTGCGCCCTCCGCCTCATGACGCCACACCGCCCGAGGGCTCTCGTCATTGGTCACTTCCGGCACGTGACCTCACCTGGCCAATCAGGTGCCGGGAAGCGTCAGGACGTCTTGGCGGGAAGCAGGACGGTTCGTCACCATCCTGTGCTTCAAAAGGCGTAAGCCCCTTGCATATTCAAACTTAGCTGGCCACTTTACAGCCAGCTTAATCACGCTCCAGCTTTCCCACACATGAAAATGTTCCCTGAACATTAGAGAACACTTAGGCTATGGAGATATGACTCTTCTAAGCTGGGAAGGAAGAAATACAGGGATGGACACCGTCACACAAGGTAGAAAACTATGAAGATGAAATTAGGTACCATTTAGTTTTGCTTTTGAATGGTGCAAAAGTTGGACAGCTTTTCAATTCATTAGGGAGTGAGTTCCATAGACTAGGTACCTTTATTTGCATAGAGTGTTTACACAGATTAAGTTTGACTCTGGGGATATCAAAGAGATATTTATTTCTGGTGTGGTGATTATGGGTCCTATTACATTTGTCCAGGGAGAGTTTCAGAGCAGGATTTGCATTTAAGAACAGGGTTTTGTAAATGTAGTTGACACAAGAGAACGTGTGGAGTGAGATTATGTTTAGCATGTTTAGGGAATTAAACAAGGGGGCTGAGTGATGTCTGAAAGCAGAATTTGTGAAGCAGAAACATATATTGTATAGTTGATACATTATATGATCAATTTTGGGTACAAGTCCAATATATCATCAAGTGTTCCAGTACCCATATAGTAGTTATAGAGTTCATCATACCTCAGCCCAGGAGGGCGAAAGTCAGTCAATATCGGACATTCTACAATATAATGTTCAAGGGAGTGCATATTTTCTCTTTCACAAAGTTGACACATTGTGTACTCGACATTTGGGTTTTGAGAAAGCTGCCAGATACGTGTATATCCCAGACGTATTCTGGCCACTATAACATCACATTGCCGAGTTATTGCTCTATTTCTTCCATATGTGAATGTCTCTACATTCACATATGTAGAGGACGGTGTGCGACAGTGTGTTAGCATTTAGGACGGGGTGCGGTTCACTCCCCCTGTTCCCCTGTCGTCTAAGTTCCGGGTCACCGGGCTGATTGGCCGCTGACCTCACTGACATGCTGCCTGAAGGCAGCATGTCAGTGAGGTGACCTGAAGGGCAATTTGGGACGGTCTTCTCAGGCCCCATTGGTTGTGAGGGCAGGGTCACGCCTTGACCGGAAGTGGTTTGAGGAGGCTTAAAAAAATAGAGAGGCCAGCATAGTGGCAGCCCTCATTACTGGACACGCCCTCAATCATGAGGTCAGGACCTGGGATGGACTCAGCCAGGGGAGCTGAGTATTGGCTCGACGTGTCCAGCTGGTCGCGACTCACCTCATACCCATTGTCGAGTGGCTGTCGACGTTCGTGGTAATGTGGGAGTTGGGTTCTTGTGAGTATGAGTAACATTGGCTGCTGTTTTGAGAAAGAGCTAAGGTAGGTCTCTGGAGATTTAGACATAGGGGAATGTAGGATCTAGGATTAGGGTTGGGGAAGTTAAGCATCAACAGGTCATACAACACATGCACGGCCAGTTGGGGCATATCCAACAGATGGATATGCACCAACTGTATGAGTCTCACACTACATGACTGTGTATACACTGTCCGCGTAGCGGTGCCTTCACCCCAGATATAGTTAATCATAAGTATATTTTCCGTTCCTCTCCGAAGGCCCTTCATTACCCCTCCCCCCCCCCCCGCAGGTGCTGCCCTGGTCCACCTTTCGCATGAACCTGTCGGTGACGTCGCCGTACAACGCTGACTTCGACGGGGACGAGATGAACCTCCACGTGCCGCAGAGCATGGAGACCCGCGCAGAGATCGAGAACCTCCACCTGACGCCCAGGATGGTGGTGACGCCACAGTCGAACAGGCCGGTGATGGGCATCGTGCAGGACACGCTCACCGCCGTCCGCAAGATGACCAAGAGAGACGTCTTCCTCGATAAGGTCAGACCATTCATTCTCCTCTCGCTGGTTATATGCTTGGACTGGTCGGTACAGCGACGGCCTCGCGTCTTGCAGGGTCGGCGTTCGATCCCCGATGGTCCAAGATGTCCTTGACTTTTGTCCTTATGTCCCCGCTCACTGTCCTCACATCCCTTCCAAGTACTATGTATTAACTCAAAGTTTACTCCTCGTGAATAACTTTGTATTTACCTGAGGGGAGGTTACCAGCTCTAGTGGGCTCGACGGGGACAGGAAGTCGGCGGCTTGTCAAAGACAATCCCCCCCCCCCCTAAACATTATCCAGCTAGCGGGTCAAATATCCATACACCTACTTTTGAAGCAATGTATTTATTGTCAAAGTATGAGGAAGACTTTGTGTGTGTGTGTGTGGGAGGGAAATACTGATGTATAAGGTGTTGGTGTTGGCAGGCGGAGATGATGAACCTGCTCATGTTCCTGCCCATCTGGGACGGCCGGATGCCCCACCCGGCCGTGCTCAAGCCCAAGCCCCTGTGGACCGGGAAGCAGATCTTCTCGCTCATCATCCCTGGCAACCTCAACCTGGTGAAGACCCACGCCACCCACCCTGACGACGAGGACGACGGGCCCTACAGGTGGATCTCCCCCGGGGACACAAAGGTGATCTTCCTCACCTTTGTGCACGCTTCTCTCTGAGGGGGGTTCTGGGTAGGTCACGTCGGAGCTAACGCCTGCCTCGTGCGCCTTCGATATAAGGCAGATGTGAACAAGCCTGAATGGTCCCCAGGCATACATGTAACTGAAAACTCACACCCCAGAAGTGACTCTAACCCATACTGCCAGGAGCACTATGCAACTGGTGTACAGGGCACCTTATCCACTCGACCATCACGAGCCGACAAAAGCTGATGGTAGCCTCGGCTACCATCAGCCTCGGCAGGCAGATATATATATATAGGGCTAAGTGGTATTATTTATTTATTTTTAACTTTTTTACTGACAAAATTAATTACAATTTTGCCAAATCTGAGGACTTCAATTAGGTCTTATTAGAGTGAGGATAATGGTGGTGTTGACTGTCACACACGACAGAGCACCATACACAAGACAATAGGTCTAAACTGTCAAGTGGTATCCAGCTCTTCGTAACGGTTCTGGGATAGGATTTATCAGGCATTTATAGATCCACTTACGAAACCTGTACATCTTTCAATATTACTCTGTATTATTCTCTTATTTATCCCTATCTCACCTATGGTGTCTGTGCCTGGAGATCCACCACCCTTAATTACTTCCTACCCCTAATTACTCAACACAAATCAGCAAAAAGAATAATCACAAGTTCCAGTCCCAGACACCACTTTGCTCCTGACCTAAAATCTCTAAAATCTCTAAAATCTCTGACTCTAAAATCATCAAGTCTCTGCACATACTTTTAAAAAATGCTGTACGTTTCCCAACCAGTTTAAAAGAGACTAAGAAATATTTACTTAATATTATTCAATTAATTTCACTCAAATTGCCCCACCGAAATAAGAAATTTTTGTGTTGTTTTTTAAATGTTATTTATTAAAAATGTATATCTTTTTTCATTGGCAACTAATTAATGTATCTAATTTGTGTAAAATTGCTTACTCAGTCATGTATGTTATCTTACTTTTTAGCTGGAGTTTTTAAGTTTACTTTGCATGAACTTTCTACTATTTAAATAAACGGTTATCACCGTCTAGGAAAATATTGATTATATTTGAGACCCGGGGCCAGATTCACGAAGCAGTTACGCAAGTACTTACGAACGTGTACATCTTTGGTTACATTTATTAAACAGTTTACAAGCATGAAAACTTCCCAATCAACTGTTGTTATTGTTATAAACAGCATCCTGGTGCTTCAGAGCTCATTAACTGTTTAATAATTGTAAACAAAGCCGCCAAAGATTAAGAAATGATATACAAGTTCGTAAGTACTTGCGTAACTGCTTCGTGAATCTGGCTCCTGGGACAAGATTCATCAGGAATAACAGAACAGATTTACAAAACTTGTACATCTTTTCTTAATCATGGCGCCTTTTTTTTTTACATTTACTAGACAGTTTGCGAGCTTGCAAACTTCACAACCCAAGGTTAATATTCTCACGAACAATCTCGTAGCGCTGCGGTGCTCGTAAGCTGCTTAATAAATGTAAACAAAGCCGCCATGATTGAGTAAAGTTGTATATGTTTCGCAAGTGGTTGTGTAAATGGTTGATGAGTCGTGGCCGTGCTGTGTAGTGCAACACGGGTCACCAGCATCACCACCGTTGCAGGTGCTGGTGGAGCATGGCGAACTCATCATGGGTATCCTGTGCAAGAAAACTCTGGGCGCATCGTCGGGCTCCATGTTGCACCTGGCCTGGATGGAACTCGGGCACGAGATTGCTGGTCGTTTCTACGGCAACATCCAGACGGTTGTCAACAACTGGCTCCTGCTGGAGGGTCACAGCATAGGCATCGGCGACACCATCTCCGACCCCAGCACCTACAGGGTCATCCAAGACACCATCAAGAAGGCCAAGGAAGACGTGATCGAGGTGATCCATAAGGCTCACAACGACGAGCTGGAGCCCACGCCAGGCAACACTCTCAGGCAGACCTTTGAGAACCAGGTCAACCGCATCCTCAACGATGCTCGAGACAAAACCGGAGGCTCTGCCAAGAAGTCCCTGACGGAGTATAACAATCTCAAGGCCATGGTGGTGGCGGGCTCCAAGGGCTCCAACATCAACATCTCACAAGTCATCGCTTGTGTAGGTCAGCAAAACGTTGAAGGTAAGAGAATTCCCTTCGGTTTTCGCAAGAGAACGCTGCCCCATTTCATCAAGGACGATTACGGTCCCGAGTCTCGCGGGTTCGTCGAGAACTCCTACCTAGCCGGCCTCACGCCTTCAGAGTTCTACTTCCACGCCATGGGCGGCCGCGAGGGTCTGATCGACACGGCCGTCAAGACTGCCGAGACTGGGTACATCCAGCGGCGGCTGATCAAGGCCATGGAGAGCGTGATGGTCAACTACGACGGCACCGTCAGGAACAGCGTCAGCCAGGTGATCCAGCTTAGATACGGCGAAGACGGTCTCGCTGGCGAGTTCGTGGAGTTCCAGAATCTGCCCACGATCAAGCTCTCCACCCGGCGCTTCGAGGACCGGTATCGCTTCGACGTGTCCAACGAGCGCTACCTGAGGAAGCTCTACACCGAGGACGTGGTGCGGGAGATTCTCGGTGCCCCGGACGCCATCGGCGTCCTGGAGACTGAGTGGCAGCGCCTCCAGGAGGACAGGAAGGTCCTCCGCCAGGTCTTCCCTAAGGGCGATACAAAGGTAAGTCCTTCGAGGTTGAGCAACTGGTGGCGACCCTCCCAGCTATGACTATGTCACACACCAGCTGAGTATACATTCCCAGCTACGACTGTGCCCACAGACGAGCTAGGACCACAGTCCCAGCTACGACTGTGCCCACAGACGAGCTAGGACCACAGTCCCAGCTACGACTGTGCCCACAGACGAGCTAGGACCACAGTCCCAGCTACTACTGTGCCCACAGACGAACTAGGACCACAGTCCCAGCGACGACTGTGCCCACAGACGAGCTGGGGGCCACAGTCCCAGCTAAAAACGTGCGGCAGTGCCAATTTGGAGTTATCTAGGGTCTCGAAGGGAACGAGTTAGTTCCTAAAGTAATGTTAACAAATGGGATACGTTGTGTGTGTGTGTTAGGCTTTGTAAGAATGTAATTTCCGTACCTACTTTCTTATATGGCCCGTTGTTGCTGTCTTGATCTATGGAACAAATTACCGGGTAACATAATAGACGTGGTCACATTTGATTGTTTCATGCATACGTTAGACATATATATATATATATATATATATATATATATATGAATGAGTTTACTTGGATATCAATAGGAGCTGCCTCGTATGGGCCAATAGGAGCTACTTTATATGGGTCAAGATGAGTTGCCTCGTATGGGCGAATAGACCTTCTGCAGTTCCCTATATTCTTATATTATAAGTATTTAATAAAACATGTAATGAAATGAAGCATGTGTGGTGAAGGTGGTGCTGCCGTGCAACCTGGAGCGGATGATCTGGAACGTGCAGAAGATCTTCCACATCAACAAGCGGACCCAGACGGACCTGTCACCCGTGCGCGTGGTGGAGAGCATCCAGACCATGCTGGATAAGTGCGTGATCGTCTCTGGCAACGACCGCATCAGCAAGCAGGCCAACGAGAACGCCACCTTCCTCTTCCAGTGCCTGGTGAGATCCACACTCTGCACCAAGAAGGTCGCCGAGGAGTACAAGCTCACCTGCGAGGCCTTCAACTGGCTGGTGGGCGAGATCGAGACCAGGTTCAACCAGGCCATTGTGAGTTACTCGGCCTCCCCAGCCAACTCCTTGCACTCTTGTAGACTGGACCCAAGCACTTGGGGTGGACGGTAGAACGACGGTCTCGCTTCATGCAGGTCGGCGTTCAATCCCCGACCGTCCAAGTGTTTGTTCACCAATCCTTCATCCCCCCCCCACCCGCGCCCCATCCTAAATCATTATCCTGTTGATTGTAGCCGTTACAACTATACAGCCCTTCCAAGGGCTGTATAGTTGTAATGACTTCGCGCTTTCCCCTGATAATTTTCTCCCATTCTCTTCTAGATTATATTGCATTGTTTATTTCCAAAAACGACATGGCCGCTCGTACCCAAGGGAGGAAGGCACTAAATGTCAAATATCTCCTCTTCTTTCCTGATGAACATCAAGTCCAGCATTGCTGGAAATTCCCCCTTCCCTTATTCTCAAGTCTTCCAATCTGTCTGTCCAAATGCCCCCCGTTCTTGCTGTAGGCCTCCCAGTCTCTTGATTTGAAGTTGAAGTCGCTAAGTACCAACGCTCGTGATTTATCATTATCTCTCTTACTAGAACAAATGCACAAGGGCCGTGACGAGGATTCGAACCTGCATCCAGGAGCACTCTCGACTGTCTTACTTGAGTGTGTCTCATGATCATTATGAGGCCCTCTGTCGCCCAGGGGCCAGATTCACGAAAACACTTACACAAACACTTATGAACCTGTACATCTTTTCTCAATCTTTGCCGGCTTTGTTTACAATTATTAAACAGTTAATGAGCTCCGAAGCACCACGAGGCTGTTTATAACAATAACAACAGTTGAATGGGAAGTTTTCATACTTGTAAATTGTTTAATAAATGTTATCAAAGCCGTCAAAGGTTGATGAAAGATGTACACGTTCGTAAGTGCTTGCGTAAGTGCTTTCGTGAATCTGGCCCCAACACAATGCTTTTGTCCATGTGTTGCTTGCTGGTGGACTGTAGGCATTTATGATTATCAGTTTATCATACTGATTACAGATCTCAAGGGCAATTGTGTTAACTTCTCGTTGGTTGTCAACTATTAATTCTCTTTCCTTCAAGTATTCTTTCACCAGCACGGCAACTATTCCACCTTTTCTAATTTTTCTCTCCCGTCTCCAAACTGAACAACCCCTTCGAATATGACCTCATTTAAAATACTATCTTTGAAAATCATAATATCATGATATTTAGCAAATCCTCAATCATCATTAACCTGCCTATAAAACCACATTTCTGTATTTCTTTCTTAGTAAAACCTTCGAAATTTATGTCCTTTGTTGTCTCTCTCTGACGATCCTGTCATATCCGCCATATTTGTTTCCATTTCGTCTGTTCTAGTTCACTGTCTCTGGCTCTAAACTGGTTCTAGATTTGTATATTTTTCTCAGCACTCGCCACTCTCCACCTTGCATTAGTGGTGTCGGTGTGTCTAGGGTATCCAGGCGGACCACTTGTGTCCACCACTAACACCTCCATGTGAGGCAATGATCCCGCAGCTCTCTAAGGTGTGTCGTCTGCTCCTGCTGTGTGTGTGTGTATGTGTACTCACCTAATTGTGCTTACGGGGGTTGAGCTCTGGCTCTTTGGTCCCGACTCTCAACCGTCAATCAACAGGTGTACAGCTGTACTTCTTCTGTGTGTGTGTGTGTGTGTACTCACCTATTTGTGCTTGCGGGGGTTGAGCTTTGGCTCTTTGGTCCCGCCTCTCAACTGTCAATCAACTGGTGTACAGGTGTGTGTGTGTGTGTGTGTGTGTGTGTGTGTGTGTGTGTGTGTGTGTGTGTGTGTGTGTGTGTGTGTGAGTGTGTGAGTGTGAGTGTGTACTAACCTATTTGTGCTTGCAGGGGTTGAGCTTTGGCTCTTTGGTCACGCCTCTCAACTGTCAATCAACCGGTGTACAGGTTCCTGAGCCTACTGGGCTCTGTCATATCTGCATTTGAAACTGTGTATGGAGTCAGCCTCCACCACATCACTGCCTAATGCATTCCATCTGTTAACTACTCTGACACTGAAAAAGTTCTTTCTAACGTCCATGTGGCTCATGTGGGTACTCAGTTTCCACCTGTGTCCTCTTCTTCGCGTACCACCCGTGTTGAATAGCTTATCCTTGTCTACCCGGTCGATTCCCCTGATAATTTTGTAGGTACCTTACCTTGAGGTGCTTCCGGGGCTTAGTGTCCCCGCGGCCCGGTCGTCGACCAGGCCTCCTGGTTGCTGGACTGATCAACCAGGCTGTTGGACGCGGCTGCTCGCAGCCTGACGTATGAGTCACAGTGACCATGTCTTCCCTTACTCTTCTGTCTTCCAGTGTCGTGAGGTGCATTTCCCGCAGCCTTTCCTCATAACTCATGCCTCTTAGTTCCGGGACTAGTCTAGTGGCATACCTTTGAACTTTTTCCAGCTTCGTCTTGTGCTTGACAAGGTACGGGCTCCATGCTGGGGCCGCATACTCCAGGATTGGTCTTACATATGTGGTATACAAGATTTTGAATGATTC